TGGGCTGTGGAACGGATTAATTTCATAAGTAGAGGTACCACTGTATCTTTATTGATTTATCACACACAAAAAACATACAACTAAAAATCCACATGTAACAATAACTAGTATACATGAAGCACACTTTATCACATAAAAATACAGAGAGAGAGAGAGAGAAAGAGAACAATTACAAATTAACAATATGATAAAAGAGACTTCCCAAATAATGCGAGCTTGGTCTGTGCTATTATAATAGTTAAGTAGACTTTCTTAGTACAGTACAAACATAAAAAGAGAATTGATTATACAATCGTATCATTTCCCTTTTAATACTTCAAAATATCTCAATCTTTAAAAAAAAAGATCTACTGCATAGTCCTATCTTCTGTGAACACAAATTAAACTGTTCAACTATCATCAAATCCAGAAGTGATCAAATTATCAAACTGACATTGTAAATATACATAAAAATTTCCCCAATCTCTGGTAAATTTACAATTAACTTTTCTTTCAAGGATATATATGTTAGCTTATCCATTTGCACTATACTAACTTCCCTATCCATTCTTCCTCTGTTGGTGTGATGGACAACCTTCAATATTTAGCCAAAAGGATTCTTGCTGCTGTTACCATGTGCCAGCTGAGCCTACCAACCCCGTTCTCTGCATTTTTGTTAAAGTGGAATAGTCCTAGTAGAAAAAATTCTGGGTGTAGATTAATGTTTCACTGTAAATTAATCTGCATTTTCGATTTTACCATAACCCAGAATTTCTCTAGCTTTTTACATCTCCACCACATGTGGTAAAATGACCCAATATCCTTACCACACTTCCAGCACAAATTATTAGTGCCCTTATAAATCTTTGAGAGTATCAACCCATTTGAAGTGTTATGAACTAAGAAAGTTCTACAAATACCATGGATAATGACAAATACAAACAAATAGGTCTTAGACTCAAGCCTCAATTTGAACTAGAAGCTAAAATGATGAAACTGAGGCTACTATACTATGGCTATATCATGAAATGTTGTGATACTAATGCTTGGCAAGGTAGGAGGCAGTAGGAAAAGACTGTTATAGGTGGATAGACTCAAATCAAGATCATGGCCCCGAATTAGGAAGACCTCTTTGCTGGACCATTCATTACAGAGTGCCTTGGAGGTCTCTTGTTCTCAGGGCCAACAAAGTCAAAGCCAATTTGATGGCAGTTAACAAGCCCCGTTTTACCCAACTTTAATGTTAAATACAAAATATCACAACCATAATTAGGCTTCTGGGCACATCCAGGTTTTTGTTTTGGCAGTCTATGTGGCACCTGGAGGGTGCCAAGAGCAGACCCACTGGATTTGCCTGTCCCTTAATTATATAGATCATTTTTTTATTATACCTATGGTATAATGCACAGGGCAAAATGAAGGAATTGCCCTCCCAATAAGAATCTCATCCCCTCTGGAAATTTTCCTTCAGCTCAAGAATTTCTAGCATTCTAATAATAACTTAAAATTTTAGGACTTCATAAAGTACTACCATACACACACAATTTTAATGTAAGAGCTTTTGAAAAGTATGCCTAAGAAGCAAACCTTTCAGAACACATCGTCCCTTCTCTCTCACATAAAAATATTCCAATCTGAGGTGGCATTTGACTGACACGCACATATACATATCTAAAAATAAAATGTGGCTTCTTAGTGTGACATTTTTTTCATAATGACTGGATTATTTATATACAAATTTATGCAAATTTAAGTTAATTAATTATTGATTGCTAGCCTAAAACTCCAGCCAATCTGGATTTCTTCAATCCAGCAACAACTCTTCCCCAGATGTATGCAAACCTAGAGCAGATGAAATATTTCCTTCCAGACATAGCATGCTAAAAATAATATGAACAATGTTGCACAAAACATTTTGCTTGTTCCTTATGGGAGGGGACAATCTTTTTTTCTTCTTATTTTAACGAGATGTACAGTTGGTTCAAGGTAAATTTCCTTGATGTTAATAGAAATTTACTTGCAATTAAATGACTTTCAGTTTGGGACATGAACACAGAAAGCTGTCCCAACCTTCAGGCAGATCGGAAGCCTTCCAGGTGTTGTTGGACCACTTCTATAATCTTCAGCCGCCTTGCTGGAGTCTAACAATATCTGGGGAGCCACAGACTTACCACTACAGATGTGGTCCTTCAGCATGAAAAGCAACCTCCTCCAGCTTGTTGCCATCTCCACTGTGTTGAATTACAACTCCCTGGCTGGGGATGATGGGAGTTGTACTCTGAAGGCTGGATGAGTTGTTTGGAGATGGGTGATGCAAAGCATCTGTGACTGCTGTCTGTCCATACTTTTCTGATGAATATCCAATGAATGTGATTCTTCAGTCCCATAGACAGCTTGCTGTATGGTATGCCTTCATGACCAGTTTGGGATGTGCTAAGTTGCATGTAGCCATATACTGTGATTAACGTATACCTTCCAACATATGCATTTTTGGATGCAGGAAAAAACTGAATATCTTAGAAAATTCAAGCTGATCACCATACATGACTGGTGGGCTACACTTGGCTTCATGGGTCACAAACTCTGCAGCACAACGCAAAGGATAGGAACTCACTCTAACACTTAGGCCTCTCAGTGATTGAGGTCATGCCTATATTAGGAGCAAAGGAGAATTAAAACAAAACAAAACCCAACCTCTCCCATCTCAGTGCATTGTGCATGGTCCTAATTACTTCAAGACGTCACTCTTTGATCAGTAAAGCTTTATCACTAAAGGCCAAAATCACTTCATTCAAGAGATTTACATCCTCTTAGCTCTAAAGAGTAGTAAATAATAAGTTTATAGATTCTGGGGTTCATATTTTCTAAATAGCATGTACTAAGAACACCACGAGCATTTAATACAGTGATGTTTAGAGGTATGCTAATGGCCACAAGAATTCCCCCCCCCCAACCTCCATAATGTGGTTTAATCATCGGTTGGAGATCAAAAACCACCATGTGATTTTATACAGCATGGGCAGCTTCCAGGACTGCCTTACATGGAAACAGATCAATGGCAAAATTGGTAGATACAGCAAAGCATTTGCAATAAAAGCTTTTTATGTATCTTGTTCAAAGCATGTAAGTGCCTTTTAGATCACTGATTGAACTGTAGACAGTATAAAGTGGAACCTTTTAATACTAAAATAAATTTCCAGAGTAAAAATTCCATTATAGGGAAAAGTGTTTTTGCTGCAGTGGGATAGATAATAATTCTTTCACACATAATGGGATTCATGAAATGTTTGATGATAAACAGAAGTCCTTTGTACCACTATAGCAAGACTGTACTGCTTGTGCGGGCCTGTATACGATATATTATGGGGCAGTAGGATATGTGCTTTCTTCAAGAAGTGATGAAAAGCAAGGCCAAACAGTGGGACAGGTAAGAGGATAAAAAGGACCATCATCAACACAAATTTAGGAGTATGACTAAGAGAAGACATGAACAGCTTTGAAAGTCTCCCCTTGCTCCCCAAACCCTTTAATTTGGAATGATTTTGTTGACCTAGCATGTGCAAAGCTTGCCCATCTTTAAGAGACCTGTTGTTTGAACTTTCTGAGCTTCAATAGAACAGCCAGTTGAACTTGCCTCTGATGAAGTGGGCTGCAGGCTGCAAAAGCAGCCGATTCTTTGTTATGTTTGAGGCAACCGATAAATAAAATTCATCCCTCCCTGCAAGAGTGGAACCATCAGTTTGCTGCGGGAGGGGAGTCCAATGTAACATCTTGCAGCCACATGAGAGCTATTGTAGTTAAAAAGTCTGTACTGGAACAAGCAAGTTGGGATATGTAATGAAGCATAACCAAGGGGCAAATGCGTACTCGGAAGGAAACGCTTATGGGCCACTTATGAAGAGTCACCTCTCCTAACACAAGCTGCCATGGGCTTCCTTTTCTGGTGCTCCTCCAATGGGTACCAACTACCACTGAAATTGCCTGAACATGCACTCACCACTGGAACTAAATATGAGGAAAGGAGCAATGGCCCATGGAGGACATCAGAAGAAGGATCCTTCCAAGGATCCCCTCAAATCTGGAGTTGGCACTGCTTATGGATGGTAACACTTTTATCAAATTAGTGGGCTTGTCCCAGCTCTTATTGTTCATCCTGGACTCCCCAGCCATTCCTTTACTTTTCAAACCCCATTTAATTGTGTATGCAGACAATGGCCCTGTTCAACATCACGTTGGGCTTGGTTATTTGTGGTCCTCCATATGCTAGACTGCAACTCCCAACATCCTTTGTCATTGGTTATGCTGGCCAGGGCTGATGAGAGTTACAGTCCTATCCCTGATGAAGATGGTAGCTAGCTCCATCTCCTCCCAACACAATTATGCTAGGTCCATCTCCTCACAATACCACTGTTGTCATCTTCCATGTTGCAAGATACTTTTTGAAGGCAATCAATGTCCCCCCCCCCCCATTAGAATGTAATTCCAGATTAACAGAAAGCCTCTACAGATGACAGATCTCACTTTCAAAAAGTCATCTTCTATACTTGGAGGTTGACCAAACCAGCAGCATGTATTGGTAGGTAAGGGTAGTTAATTCATCCCTGTTCCTTTTTTCACATATGTTTACAATCAGAGCTGGGACAAATTACTTTTTTTGTAAT